TCCTCCTCCTCCTCCTCCTCCTCCTCCTCCTCCTCCTCCTCCTCCTCCTCCTCCCCCTCCCCCGCGAGGAGCGCGGAGGCGGGGAGGAGACTGCAGCACCTGCAGGAGGGGCTTCAGCAGCTGCAGGAGAGGATGGACAAGCCCAGAATGCGATGATAACCTGTGGGAGGTGCTCTCAGAAACGGATCGTATCCTTAAGAATATGTTGTTCTCATCGTACCCATCACGAACCTTACATCTATACCTATACCCGTTTTCTCTTGAAATCTGCGTCAGGGGAAGCCGCGTCTCACGTGGGCGACGGCGTTGTGAAAGAGCGCGCATCGCAAGCCTTTTGAGTTGATTGTCTTTTCCTCCATTGAGCGTGGGTGGTCGCAGCAGATGCCCCACCCTGGTGTGGAAACCAAGGAAGAGACAGGTATAGATATAGATGTGTGACATTGCCCGTACCTAATTTCTCTTGGCAAGTTTCCGGGCTCACATCCGTGTTTTCCTGGGGGCGCCATTGCAGCCCGCAGTAGCGGGGTGATGATGGGCGCGGTGACGGCATTGCATTTCCGCGGCTGGAGGCTACTGCGGAGCGCTCAGTAGATTTCTTGCAAGCTTCTGCCAAGGCGAGACGGGTAGAGGTATAGATGGATCTTTCTTCAACTTGACCCTTCCCAGAACGAATCGTATCGCAGTAGTGTGCCCGACACGCTGGCGAAGTGTGGAACGATTATCGCCTCCCAGCGCCCGACACGTAAGCACCCTGCAGTTTTCAGATGTGCGTGATGCTCGAAGTTCTGTCTGGTGATCAAGGCTACAGTATATTTGAACATCATCATTGTGATCTAGGCGTAATCCTTAACAAAAACAATTTCTCACTCGATTATACTTTTGGTTTTACTATAGCATATCTTTTTATGGCCCTGACTAAATGTATTGGATTCTCTGTGATCTTATCGAATTGGATTTAAAAGTTCTCCCACTTATCATAATCTAGGTACACTGATGTTTTTCTTTAAACGCATGGATATTGCGAACATGGTTTGCAATCATCCAATTAGGTTCCTTTCGATGTGGCTTCTCATTCTCCGGGACTGCTTACAATCCTGTAACATACACATATATCTATATATAAATATATAAGGAGTGTAAGTATTTGGATATGTTGTTATGCATTGATCTGCTTTTCCAGATATGATTCTCTGCGTCTGATTATTTGGATCTGATTTTGGATATGAATTTTTGTCTCACTCTCTGGAAATGATTCCCTGGATCTGATTTTAATTATTCGTATTATTATCCGTCCTGTTATCATTATTGTTCATAGTCCAAATTCCCAATCCGATTCCCATGCCCATTTCTAATTCTTTTTATGTTTATATGTGGTATTCGTTTTCTCCGCATTATGATCCCTAGTATAATTCCTTGTATCAGTAACCGTCTTATTTGTATCAGGTGTTCCTTTACAGGATAGCCTGTTTATCCTAATTCGCATCCTTAGTCTTATTACTATTGTTCGCATGCTACTTGTTGGTCTTAGCAGTATTATTTTCAGAATGGTTGATTCGTTTTGGTCTTGTCAATGCTATTGCTCTCAGCCGTATCATTTTTTATTCGTGGCAGTGTTAGTTTCTGTCGTATGCATATGCGTAGTTTCAGTAATACGAGTATACGCACGATCATTAGTCTTATCATCCCTTCCATTTCCACGTTCATGTTTATACCATGCTCCATTTTTATAGGTGCGTAGGTCTCTGTGCCTTTGCATGGCTTTCCAGATGTCTGTCTCATTCGTGATACTATTAGTATTGTTATGATTATTGCTCGTGTTCTTAGTGGCACTCATATTATTAGTCTTACTCTTCGGATGAGTCGTTGCCCGTATTAGAGGAAGGGGGAGGGGAGGAGGAGGAGGAGGAGGAGGAGGAGGAGGTGGAGGAAGGATGAGGAGGAGAGAAGGAGGAGGAGGGCGGAGGACCAGGAGGAGGAGGGAAGGGGGAGGAGGGATGAGGAAAGGAGGGGGAGGAGGGGAGGAGGAGCAGTGAGCAAGTGGAGGTAGGAGGAGGAGGAGGCGGAGGAGGAAAAGGAGGAGGAGGAAGAGGGGGAGGGAGGACGAGGAGAAGGAGGAGGAGGAGGGAGTGACGGGAGGGGGGGGGAGAGGAGGAGGAGGAGGAGGAGCGAGGAAGGAGGAGGAGGGGAGGAGGAGGGAGGGGAGGAGGAGGAGGAAGAGGCGGTAGGAGGAGGAGTAGGAGGAGGAGGAGGGAGGAGGAGGAGGGAGGATGAGGAGGAGGAGGAGGGGGGATGATGATGATAGTGTTGATGATCGACCCTTCCAGATTATTCAAGATTCTTCTGGATTGTCCCAGATTCTTCCAGATTCTTCTGGATTCTCCCAGACGCCATCAGGTTCTCGCAGATTTTTACGGATCCTCCGACAAGCGTCCAAGCGTCAAGCTCCGGCAAGATCTTAATGGCAGAAGAAGACTGCTTCTTAGAAGGCGCGGGCCTTCTCTATAGATGTAGGGCCGGCGTCGTCTGAGAAGCAGCCTCCTTCTAAGAAGCCTTCCCCTTCCCCTACCCCTTTGGGCACGCCGCCATGGATTCGATCCGATTCGGCTTCGATGGATTCCGATTCTGTTTCGATGCGGCATCAGATCCCGATTCGGATTCCGATTCTTCAATGGAAAATATGGAGGCCTACCAGCCTGCCGATTTCTGCCGATCCGACTTCTCCCGCGACTTTGTTGCCACTTTCCGCCGATCCGTTTCTGGGCTCGCCCGAGGAGTCGGAGGATGCCTCTGTCAGCCGGGTCGCGGAGCTCCAAGAGAAGCAAAGGGCCGCGGAGGAGGAAGCCGCACGCCTCTCGCTTCTCACCGAGGAGCTCAGGAGGCGGCTGCGGCAGGATGCAGAATCGGCAGCAGCGATGAGGGAATTGGAGTCGCAGGCGAAGGCTCAGGCAATTGCAGCGACGTCAGAGACGACCGCCCAGGCAGCAAGGAACGCCGAGGCGGAAAGCAGGCTGCAGCAACTCCATCAGCTCATGGAGCAACTGACCGCCCAGGCTGCAGGCCTGAAATCCGATGAGGATGCGGCCGCGAGCAGGGTCGCCGAGCTTCGGATAGATGTGCAGATGGCTGAGAGTGGGGCCAAAGCTGCTGCGACGGAGATGCGGGCCATGGAAGAGCAGGCGAAGGCTCTGACGGTGGTGGCAGAGTCAGAGACGGCCGCCCAGGCAGCAAGGAACGTTGAGGCGGAAAGCAGGCAGCAGCAGCTCCACTTGGACATGCAGCGATTGATAACGGAGGCAGCATGCCTGAAGTTCAGGGAGGATGCGGCCGCGAGCAGGGTGGCCGAGCTGCAGGTAGAGAACGTGACGGCTGATAGTAGGGGTAAGGCGGCGGAGGAGGAGGTCGCCCGCCTCGTGCGCCATTTAGAGTTAAGGAACGCCGAGGTGGAAAGCAGGCTGCAGAAGCTCCACCTGGACATGCAACGACTGACAACCGAGGCAACTGGCCTGAAGGGCAGAGAGGACGCGGCCGCGAGCAGAATGGCGGAGCTCCAGGCAGAGAGCGCGACGGCTGACAGTAGGGTCAAGGCTGCGGAGGAGGAGGGCGCCGAGGCGGAGCGCAGGCTGCAGCAGGCCGAGGCGGAGTGCAGGCTGCGCTCCGCGGCAGCGAGGGCCGCCGAGGAGGACATCGAGCGGCTGACCGCCGAGGCGGCGGACCTGCAGTCCAGGGAAGGCGCGGCTGTCAAGCGGAAGGATGCGGGCCACGCAGTCCAGGGAAGGCGCGGCTGTCAAGCGGGAGGGGGGAAGGCTTCTCAGAACCACCCCTGCTTCTTCGAAGGCGCGGGTCTCGCCCATGGATGTGAGGCCGGCGCCTGCCAAGAAGCAGCCTCCTGCTAAGAAGGCTTCCCCCCTGCAGCCTCTCCCCCCTTACCCCCTCGGCGCGCGCCGCCAAGGATGAGCTTCTGCGGGCCAACGCCGAGGTGCTGAGCAGGACGAAGGCGGCGGAGGGCGAGGCGCAACAGCTCTGCCTGCAGGCGGCCCAGCTCCAGTCCCTGGAGCAGTCCACGGCCCGGGCGGTCGCAGAGGCGGCGGAGCGCCAGGCGAGGGGCCACCTGGAGGCGAAGGATCGACTGCACATGAGAGTGACCCTTCGCCGGAGTGGCCTGTGGTGCGGGCCCATTGGGGCCCCCCGATCGCCGACCCCGAAGCGGCGGCAGCGGCTTGCGCGCCCAGGCTTGGCCACCACGCATGAGCCGCGCACCAACGGTCACTCTGTACCCCAGGGCCCCTCTTGCGTGTAGCCGAAGAAGGAGCAGGAGAGGGCCCTGGCGGAGGGCCGTCTGCAGCAGCTGCTCCAGGAGGTGGACAAGCTCTCAACCCAGGTCGACGGCGTGAGGGCCCGGGAGGAGGCCACCGCCAAGAGGAGGCTGGAGCTCCAGGCCGAGAGCGCCGAGGCGGAGAGGCGGGCAGAGGCGGCGGCGGCGGACTCCGCCGCGGCGAAGGCCCGGCACGAGGCGGCCGTCCAGGAGGGCGCGGAGAGGCTGCGCGCCGCAGAGGAGGAGGCGGCCTCCCTGAAGGCGCAGGCGGACGCCCTGAGCCGCAAGCAGGCGGAGGCGGAGCGGACCGTGGCCGCGCTGAAGGTCTGCAACGCAGAGGCCGAAGGTCGGAGGAGGACAGGGTGCCGATACCGCTCCCCTTCCCTCGTTTCTTCCCCCTTTGTGGGCCTCACGGGCGGCCCTCGCCGCCACCGCTGGATGCGCTTCTTCAATCCGGGCGAGAGCGCACCCCAGGAGAGGTCCGGGGAGCAGCGGTGTACCAGTACCTGTTGGTTTCCCCAGAAGGCTGCGTCCACGCCCGGGAGCAAGAGGTGGTCAGCCTGTGCAACGAGGCGTCCGAGCTGAAGGCCCGCGAGGGCGCCGCGGAGAGGGCTGTGGAGGCGCTCGCGACGGCGGCGGCGTGCTCCCCGGCGGCCGCCGAGCGCGAGCAGGACCGGCGCCGGTCGGCGCGCAGACCGCGGGTCGGCCACGGGCCGGCCTTCGGGGGTGCCCCTCGCGCCACGGCTGGGCGCAGCTCGGGGAAGTTGTCGTTCGGACCCCTGGGAGGGGTCTTGGTGGGGGGCCGATGCTGAGCTGCCGTTGCCTCAGCTCGTCCTGCTCCGAACGGGGGGGGGGGGGCGCGCGACGGCGGGCGGTCGCGGCCTTGCTTCACCGACGGCCCTCGGGGCCCTCCAGGGGGGCCCTCCTCAGACGCAAGTCCGCCCTCCTCCCGTCACCCTCAGGGTGCAGCTCCCGGGAGGCTAATTAGCTGCGGCATCGGCGCTGATATAGATGTGTATATGTATGTATGTATATATATATATATATATATATATATATCCGTGCTCGAAAACCGGCCTGATCTGGCATACTCCTGTTTAGTCACGCTTCATCCTGTTTGGACCCGGTGGATCCAGCCTGATGATCGGAGGGGGCTACAGGACGAGGATGCCCAGTCCGTTCCACAGTGTTGCAGGACGCTCTCAGAGCTTGAAGGCCGCGGTGCCCGATATTGTTCAGAGCCGCCGGATCTCAGACATTCTCGATTGATCCTCTCCCGATGTTGTCCTCTTCCTGGCTTCGTCTTCAATGGGGCTCCCAAGCTCGCGATTTGGCGCTCCGCCAGACCAGGAGCCCGGGCGTGCTGCCGCGGGGGAGCGGGAGGCCCCCGGGCGCCCAGAGTTCCAGGCAGAGAGCGCGACGGCTGACAGTAGGGTCAAGGCTGCGGAGGAGGAGGGCGCCGAGGCGGAGCGCAGGCTGCAGCAGGCCGAGGCGGAGTGCAGGCTGCGCTCCGCGGCAGCGAGGGCCGCCGAGGAGGACATCGAGCGGCTGACCGCCGAGGCGGCGGACCTGCAGTCCAGGGAAGGCGCGGCTGTCAAGCGGAAGGATGCGGGCCACGCAGTCCAGGGAAGGCGCGGCTGTCAAGCGGGAGGGGGGAAGGCTTCTCAGAACCACCCCTGCTTCTTCGAAGGCGCGGGTCTCGCCCATGGATGTGAGGCCGGCGCCTGCCAAGAAGCAGCCTCCTGCTAAGAAGGCTTCCCCCCTGCAGCCTCTCCCCCCTTACCCCCTCGGCGCGCGCCGCCAAGGATGAGCTTCTGCGGGCCAACGCCGAGGTGCTGAGCAGGACGAAGGCGGCGGAGGGCGAGGCGCAACAGCTCTGCCTGCAGGCGGCCCAGCTCCAGTCCCTGGAGCAGTCCACGGCCCGGGCGGTCGCAGAGGCGGCGGAGCGCCAGGCGAGGGGCCACCTGGAGGCGAAGGATCGACTGCACATGAGAGTGACCCTTCGCCGGAGTGGCCTGTGGTGCGGGCCCATTGGGGCCCCCCGATCGCCGACCCCGAAGCGGCGGCAGCGGCTTGCGCGCCCAGGCTTGGCCACCACGCATGAGCCGCGCACCAACGGTCACTCTGTACCCCAGGGCCCCTCTTGCGTGTAGCCGAAGAAGGAGCAGGAGAGGGCCCTGGCGGAGGGCCGTCTGCAGCAGCTGCTCCAGGAGGTGGACAAGCTCTCAACCCAGGTCGACGGCGTGAGGGCCCGGGAGGAGGCCACCGCCAAGAGGAGGCTGGAGCTCCAGGCCGAGAGCGCCGAGGCGGAGAGGCGGGCAGAGGCGGCGGCGGCGGACTCCGCCGCGGCGAAGGCCCGGCACGAGGCGGCCGTCCAGGAGGGCGCGGAGAGGCTGCGCGCCGCAGAGGAGGAGGCGGCCTCCCTGAAGGCGCAGGCGGACGCCCTGAGCCGCAAGCAGGCGGAGGCGGAGCGGACCGTGGCCGCGCTGAAGGTCTGCAACGCAGAGGCCGAAGGTCGGAGGAGGACAGGGTGCCGATACCGCTCCCCTTCCCTCGTTTCTTCCCCCTTTGTGGGCCTCACGGGCGGCCCTCGCCGCCACCGCTGGATGCGCTTCTTCAATCCGGGCGAGAGCGCACCCCAGGAGAGGTCCGGGGAGCAGCGGTGTACCAGTACCTGTTGGTTTCCCCAGAAGGCTGCGTCCACGCCCGGGAGCAAGAGGTGGTCAGCCTGTGCAACGAGGCGTCCGAGCTGAAGGCCCGCGAGGGCGCCGCGGAGAGGGCGGTGGAGGCGCTCTCGGCGGCGGCGGCGTGCTCCCCGGCGGCCGCCGAGCGCGAGCAGGACCGGCGCCGGTCGGCGCGCAGACCGCGGGTCGGCCACGGGCCGGCCTTCGGGGGTGCCCCTCGCGCCACGGCTGGGCGCAGCTCGGGGAAGTTGTCGTTCGGACCCCTGGGAGGGGTCTTGGTGGGGGGCCGATGCTGAGCTGCCGTTGCCTCAGCTCGTCCTGCTCCGAACGGGGGGGGGGGGGCGCGCGACGGCGGGCGGTCGCGGCCTTGCTTCACCGACGGCCCTCGGGGCCCTCCAGGGGGGCCCTCCTCAGACGCAAGTCCGCCCTCCTCCCGTCACCCTCAGGGTGCAGCTCCCGGGAGGCTAATTAGCTGCGGCATCGGCGCTGATATAGATGTGTATATGTATGTGTATATATATATATATATATATATATATATATCCGTGCTCGAAAACCGGCCTGATCTGGCATACTCCTGTTTAGTCACGCTTCATCCTGTTTGGACCCGGTGGATCCAGCCTGATGATCGGAGGGGGCTACAGGACGAGGATGCCCAGTCCGTTCCACAGTGTTGCAGGACGCTCTCAGAGCGTTCCGGGACGCTCCCAGAAGGCCGCGGTGCCCGATACATCGTCCAGAGCCGCCGGATCTCAGACATTCTCGATTTATCCTCACCCGATGTTATCCTTGTCCTGGTTTCGTCTTCAATGGGGCTGAATCCTGGGACTAATCTGTCTTTCTCTGGCTTGCTGGTCCCCTCACCGGAGTTATGCAGTAGCCCGCAACCGTTCTCACGAGGCTCTCTCCCAGGAGTCGCCTCCCAACCTCGCGATCTGGCGCTCCGCCAGACCAGGAGCCCGAGCGTGCTGCCGCGGGGGAGCGGGAGGCCCCCCGGCGCCCCGCGAACGGGCCGCTGCCGTTTGCGGGAGCCTGTGGTATTGTTGAGGTCGGCGGCATCGCGACGGGTATTGGCTACGTGGACCCAGCGGGGGGTGCGAAAGGGGTAAGCTCAGGGTAGTAGGGTCACATGAGGGTGATCAAAGGTGAGCCGTGTTTGGCCTATTCTGGCGTATAAGTGGGCTACAGGTGCCCAAAGTGGTCTCGGGTGATTTGATCAGAGGTTAGGCGGTGAGATTGCAGTGGAACGGAGACCCCCAACCTGGAAATCGTTTCGTTTCGTTCGTGTCGTGCGTGCGGGCGAGGCGAAGCTGCGTGGGCGCGCAAGAGGAACGAACCCGCCGCTGCTAGGGCGAAGTCAAAACAAGTGTTGCTCCCCCGTCCGTCCGTCCGTCCGTCCGTCCGGCGGTGGCCCTAGCGGTGTCGCGCGGTGTTCCCGTGGTGTCCCGTGGTGTCCGCCGTTGTTAGGGCGAAGTCAAGACAAATGTTGCTCCCCCGTCCGTCCGTCCGTCCTTCCGTCCGTCTGGCGGTGGCCCTAGCGGTGTCCCGTGGTGTCCCGAGGTGTCCCGTTGAGTGAGATCGATAGTGAGATCGATACTGAGATCGATACTGAGATCGATGTGGTGTCCCAAGGACTCCCGTGGTGTCCAAAGAAGTGAGATCGATACTGAGATCGATAGTGAGATCGGCAGGTGTCCCATGGTATCCCGTGGTGTCCGGCGGTGTCCCGTTGAGTGCTCGATAGTGAGATCGATGTGGTGCCCCAAGGACTCCCGTGGTGTCCCGTGGTGTCCCGTTGAGTGAGATCGATAGTGAGATCGATCGTGAGATCGACAGGTGTTCCGTGGTGTCCCGTGGTGTCCCGTTGAGTGAGATCGATAGTGAGATCGATAGTGAGATCGATAGTGAGCCAAGGTGTCCCGTGGTGTCCCGTGGTGTCTTATGGTGTCCCGTTGAGTGAGATCGATAGGACGAGCGATAGTGAGACCGATAGTGAGATCGAGAGGTATCCCGCGGTGTCCCGTGGTGTCCCGTGGTGGCCCGTGGTGTCCCGTGGTGTCCCGTTGAGTGAGATTGATCGTAAGAATGATAGTGAGATCGACATGTGTCCCGTGGTGTCTCGTGGTGTCCCATGGTGTCCCGTGGTGTCCCGTTGAGTGAGATCGATAGTGAGATCGATTGAGTCAGATGTTGTTTCCCCCCCTAAACCCCTCCCATAACCTCCTTATCACCTGAAGGGTGGTCGTATAGGTAATTAGCTATGCTTAGTGGGCTCCGCCCACTCAGCCCGGATCGTCAACGCCCTCAGCAACTTTGGGCATTTGTAGGTCCTTTCTGTTTGTTATAAACTAGCGTAGGTCAGATATATGACCCCTCCTAGCATCTATGTGTAACTCCCCTGTCCCCTTAGCACCCCCCGCGGTGATCCAAACAACGGTTGCCTTGGAGTCTCGCCAGAAGTTCCCATTCTATCAGAGGAGGATCGGATACCGACACCGCTACACACTCGTCGTGACCACGGCTGCATTCGCCTCGAGGTTTTCGTAAGTTTTAGGGCCTTCTTCGGTCGGTGCGGCACTGTCCGCGTTGTGGAGGGTTCGGTTTGCCGGGTTGCTGGACAAAGTAGAGGCGTAGGTCGTGCTAACGGTGTGATCCGAGATGCCTTAGGTGGCCCGGATTTCCAAGACTTCTGCCTGTTCCCCACGGGCGGCAGGACCAAGGGACGCGAGGTACTCTGGACATCCTGGAACGCGTCTTGAGCCAATCCTCTCATGACCTCATTCTCATCTCGTCCTAGTGATTTTGGAGTGCCCACTGGGGGGGGCGCTCAGGAGGCGGCCCCTGCCTCGGCGCCCGACCGGGACGCCGAGACCCGGCGGCGGGATGTCGTGGAGCGGAGGCTGAAGGAGCTGGAGGTCTCCCGCGAGCATCTCGCCGGCGAGATGGAGGAGCTCGAGACGAGGGCGGAGGCCGTGGCCGAGGAGGTGCGCTGCCTCCAGGCTCGGGGGCGGCCAAGAGGGCGGTGATGACCGGGGAGGGGTGGAGATCATGGCCAGGTCCATGATGTCTTCCCAGATTCCACGGCTCCCTCTTCTTCTTCTGCTGCTGCTTCAAGTGTTTTGGCCCGGGCGCATCCCAAAACTCACAGCACACCCAGCTAACGTAGTCTACCAATTCTCATGCACTTCGTTGTTTTTTCTTCATGTTCTTATCGAATGGCTTTCCATCTTAGGACTCGGCATCATCATACTTGTTATTCAGCGGCTGCTGGCCTTGTCTATGATGCAATATTTCTCGGTCTTTCAATCTAAGCCGCTTGCACCCAGCTGTTCTACACGATTGAATTAGATTTCCCTGCACGCTTTCAACATGGATTTTGTGTGTGAATGGCACTGCAGAACAGCAGCATGGGGGATGAGGTGGCACAGTGGAAGTGAGCCGGACCGCAGAGGTGGTGGTGTGTCTCACGGCTCTAAACGCGGGCCCTACTCGAATCGATCCGCTGGATGCTCCATCATTTTCGGTACCAGGACCCCGCGCAGCAAAGTCACCAACGTGGGGACCACTCCGCTGGTAGCTGCTGAGCGAATATTGGCGATCAGAGTTCGTAGCAAGCAGTTCGGTCACACCCTCCTCACTTTGCTATTCAGGCTCCTGCGTACTAGCGGACGCGTGATGTATTGATGGGGTGGCTCAGCTGTTTTTTCCTATATGGAATGTACACCGCTACCTGCCAGTGGTATGTCTTGACTTGGATTCAGCATTCGGACTTCAGCAACAGCCAGGTCAGGAAGGATGACACTGTATTTCTTCACACTACGTCGGGGAACTAGCTCCTGCAGCACGTCAGCGATACGCAGCACACGCACCATTACAATTTCTTGAACAATCGGACCTGATTCCTGCCAGCGCATTTCGTGGAGTAGGGCCGGATTTCTACAGTTGTAGTACGGGCTCGCAAATCGATTGTGTTCTGATGCAGCAATGTCTTGTGAGTTCGGCCTGGCGCGGGGGCCCACTTATAAGATTAGCGACATAAATCCGGACTACCCCATTCAGACATCATCGTGATCACATACCCGTCCAGGTCCGAGGGGCTTATTCACTGCAGGCAGCTCTTGGGTTTTACAGCCGCCTGGACTCTGCCATCCACTTTGCGTTCGCCTTCCTGCCCATTAAGTGGAACACTGATGACCTCATGGACGCACTGCGTCGAGGCACCAACAAAGCAGAATATCTACATGCAGTTGGGAATCCATCGGCTTCATCGGGAAAACGTAAGTTCACAAGAAAATGCGCAGCGACGAACAGACAACAAACAATGAATGGGCATATGGATTGAATGCTATTGCGCAGAAGGCTTCGCAGTTTCCCACCAAGGCGGCGGAGCTACTGCCAGGCTGCAGGCAGCGAGCGCGGATCAGGTACCAGCATTTCTTCGGTCACGGCCACAAATCCGAATACAACTGGCAGCATTTTTCCTGATGCTGGTGATGGTTTCTTGGAAAATGAACCTACAGCTGGACGTCGGCTTTTATCCTGGCTGCAAAAACGGCCGCGACGGCAACGCGTCACGGCGTGGCGAATGGATACCACGCAAGATTTCCCACAATTTTACCAGCAAGGCCGTAAAGTAAAGGTTTCTAGATTGTCGATACCGTAGTCGGTCAGAGGAGCATGCCCCAGGACACGCCACTACAAGAGAGCTACCTCCGCATTGTTAACGGCTTCGGATCTGCACAAGTTGTTTCAACTCTCCTTGTGTGTAGGTAGTTCATTGTACTCCAGGTTGAAAAGCTCATGCGGGTGAGTATGGGCATGGCCCCGGCGGGCTGGGGAATCACAATTTCACGGCCGTTTGGTTGCAGCCTGGCTTGGGCTGGGCACGTGGCAAGGTGAAGCAGATCGGCCGGCATCTCAGCGCCGCAGCCAAACGTAAAGCGTCGCCGCCATGGTCGCTACCTGCAGACCTGTTCTGGATGCGGGCTCGTCCATGTCGATGCACATCGCGCAGGTTTCGAGGACTGGCTCTGAAGCTCCTGGGGCCGATAGGCGCGTGAGCACACACTTCTTAAGTGCAAGTTGCCCATGGTGGTTGTCGCACTGTTGGGGACAAGTCGATGGGAGTGGCCATCACATGGCAGAGAAGTGTTCGCGTCCTTGTGTCCCTGTGGGAAGCATTAGTATCGGCGTGTATATGCCCAGTAGAGCGTAATGAAGAGCCCAGCTTCCTCTCGCGTATGCGTAGCAGTGCGAAGAAGCTAACCTCCGATGATGGTTCAGCAATAGTTTAGGAGGCGCTTCCGACGGATGGGTGTACAACATATGCGGGATCAGAAAGGCATGACGAACGCATTCGGCAGCACCTCCTTTGAAGCACCGACTGAAAGCAATCATACGATCACGCGTGGCACCCGAACGACATTTGGAAGGCATCGTTTTGTACATTCAGCAGTGTGTTTCGGTGGGCCCGAGGGTGTCCTGGTGGCCAAAGTCTTCACGAGAGACCCATTGGCGGCCTAAGTCTTCACGAGAGATATGGGTTGTGCTTACCAAGAAGCGCAGCAGCAGCACATCGAGAACAGCGATGAGACAGTGAGGTGGCGTAGAATTGACGTGCCTGCGGGCAGCGGCGAGGTTGAGCAGCTCGACTACAGCTTCCATCGTTATGTTGTTGATGCCACGCAGGTTTTTGTATCTCTCTTGATAGCAGGATGGTCTTACACTAGTATTAAATCGCGCGAGACTATCCGCGTCGTCAGCGCGCAGCGGCGCAATTACCTGATCAAACCAGCCACGGACGAGACAGTGGTTGATTTCTTGGGGCAGCATGCGCAGTTGCTTCGCCGGCGACTTCGCGGTGCCATTCGAGCGCGCGCCGCGTTCCAGAGCGAGCTCGCGCGTCGATCGGGCGCGAAATTTGCTGGTTTGGCAGCTGCGGGGCGACGCTGGCAACGAGAGTGTCTGCCGCGCACGGAAAAGCGCGCAGTCTTCTTCCGCCGCATTGTGAGCTCAGCCTTGTCGGGCCTTGAAGCTCATGCCCCTGCCCCGGCCCAGCTGGACAATAGTTTTGTTCGTACCTTGTAGTTTCCGGAGAAGCAGGGGGGGATCTGCGAGGATCCCACGTGTTTTTTTGTTTCATCGAATGCAGCTGTGTGTTTTTGTTTCATCGAATGCAGCTGGGATGAGATATGGGCAACTCGCGCCCCCTAAAATCGAATGTAGATCTCGTTGCATTATGTGGCATCAGCCTTGGGTAAGGGGCCGCATGATAATGTAGCAGCATGGCGGGCGCTTCCTGGAATTGCGAGGGCGGGCCGGAAGCGGCCGGCTATCTGAAGGCGCGTGCCCATGGGCCCGCGGTTCGCGAAAGACATCGCCTCACCCTCTCTCTGGGGTCTCAGAAACGGCAGGCGCGAGGTGATAGAGGAGTTCGACGGCGTGCCATCTCGTTTGTCAGTCAGCTGGGCCCGGAGATACCGAGTGCGACATGGCTTGGACCGCGCGCCCCCCTCACTGACTATCCGTCGCCGTTGCCTGGCAATTATCGCGAGCAGCTTGGGCCGAAGGAGTCTGATGTCCGATGTCCTGCCCGAGGTTGTCTCGGGGCTTTCCACGGCGCGCGGCTGTTCCTGTTCCGCGCGGAAAATCACCTCGGCGAGCAGCTTGGGCCTAAGGAGTATGTCCGATGTCCTGCCCGAGGTTATCTCGGGGCTTTCCACGGCGCACGGCTGCTCCCGGTCCGCGCGGGAAATCACCCCGGCCGTCTTTCGGTCCTGGACCAGGCCATCTGCTCTTACCGGCGCTAGGGAGGAGAGGGAGGGAGGGAGGGAGGGAGACTGCCAGAGCGCGGCCTGCAAGCGCGCGTCGCCGGGCTTCGGCAGTCTCCACTTTCGAGGCCTGCTGGGGGGCCCAGCACAGTGACGCCACGGGCGGATTCAAATTGGACCTCGCCATCCCTGGGGGGCTGCGATCTGTGAAGCTGTCGCCACTTTCGAGGCCTGCTGGGGGGCCCAACACAATGACGCCACGGGCGGATTCAAATTGGACCTCGCCATCCCTGGGGGGCTGCGATCTGTGAAGCTGTCGCCACTTTCGAGGCCTGCTGGGGGGCCCAACACAGTGACGCCTCGGGCGGATTCAATTTGGACCTCGCCATCCCTGGGGGGCTGCGATCTGTGAAGCTGTCGCCACTTTCGAGGCCTGCTGGGGGGCCCAGCACAGTGACGCCACGGGCGGATTCAAATTGGACCTCGCCATCCCTGGGGGGCTGCGATCTGCGAAGCTGTCGCCACTTTCGAGGCCTGCTGGGGGGCCCAACACAATGACGCCACGGGCGGATTCAAATTAGACCTCGCCATCCCTGGGGGGCTGCGATCTGTGAAGCTGTCGCCACTTTCGAGGCCTGCTGGGGGGCCCAACACAGTGACGCCACGGGCGGATTCAAATTGGACCTCGCCATCCCTGGGGGGCTGCTCCGGGATTGTAACTAATCAGCTTTGTCTGGTCCTTGTCCTGTAGCCAGTGTCCTGCGAGTCTCCCGAATTCCGTCTGCAGACATATGTAACCCTCGCTCCGTCATCGCCCCCCTTATAACGTGTCCTAAACTATTTGCGCCCCGCGTTTGCGCAGGGGTTGGGTACGTCGCCAAGGTATTTTTTGTTTCCTCTCTCTCTCTCTCCCTCTCTCTCTCTCTGTTGCTCTCTCTCCCTCTGTCCCTGTCTGTCTGTCTGTCTGTCTGTCTGTCTGTCTGTCTGTCTGTCTGTCTGTCTGTCTGTCTGTCTTTCTCTCTCTCTCTCTCTCTCTTTCTCCTGCCTGCCAGCCGTGGGCGATTGAGGCGGGCGCAGCAGCGGCGCGACTGGCTCGCGGAAAGCGCAAAGCAGCAGCGGCAGATCAAGGACAGGAAGCCAAATTTGCCAAGCTTCAGGAGGCAGCGCTCCGCGACGAGGGGGGGCAGGAGGAGCGGCGGCAGCGCTCGTCGCCATCTCGCGCCGCCTCGCGGCGCAGAACAGTCGCGAGCTGGCGGGGCTTGTCGGCGCCTGTCGCACTTGCTATATATTTGGCCCCGCCCACGGCAGGCATGGCGGCCGTCGCCCAGTGAACAGGCCAGGATTACAACGCGCAGGGCAAAGAAGATGGGCAGGTCATTGGCATGGCCCACCGAGGGCGCGCGCATTTCTGGGGCTGCCTTTCTACCCGGTCAAACGGCCGGGGGGTGCGCCGACCGCGCGCGAGAAGACTCACGCGCTATTGGAACGTGATCGTGGCGATGAACAAGCAATCGGTTCTCCGCCTGATCCAGGGGCACGTTTGGTTCCTGCGTGTCCGGAGATGTTCTGTCGGCAAGAAGCAGCGTCGGGCCCCCGAGATGCACGGGTTCCAGTTCGCGGAGCTCCAGCACCGCTGGCGACCGTGGGCGGCAGCGGCCTGGAGCTGCAGGACCTTCGCCAGTCTCTCTTCCAAGCGCTCCAGCACCAGACGGGCTCTCTCAAGCCGGGATCGGCGCTGCGCGGCGCCATGGAAGGGGGCGCCGAAGAGCTGCCGGCGCGCGCCAGGCCGCCTCGCGAGGACGTTCCGAAGCAGGTCCACAAGGATGGCCAAGGGCAGGCTGATCGCCCTAACACCTAACAGGATCCGAGAGATTGTTGGACATGCCACAGGGAGGAGCTCTGAGTGACGAGGCCCTCGCCACCCCCAATCTAATTCCCCTGGCCTTATTTTTGATTTCAGAACAGGTCCCAGACTTTCTCCATGATGCATGGGTCGGGGGCCCCTGTAGAGACCAATCTCGGTATGGGCGCTCCACTTCAGAGGCCGCGGGAGTGCGCCCAATGCCTGGAGCCCCGCTCTCTCTTCGCGCGAGCCCACTTTTTCTTTTTCTCCCCTGCTTGACCACCCCCATCCCCCCCCAATGCCCCCGCGTAGACGGCGCGCGAGCCAGGCGGTTGGATGGGTCGCGACCTCCAGATTTGCAAGTGTCCACTCTTCGTGCATCCCCACCAGCCCTTCCAGCGACATATCGCCAGACGATGTGCCTTGATCTGGGAAGTGCAGGCGCGTGCAATGCGACGACCGCCTTGGATGCGTTTTCTCGGCGGCCTCTAGGAGACATTTTGGGTCTCTCGCGGGTTCTCTCGGAGCTACGCTGGGCACTCCCGGGGCCCTCCTGGTGTCTTATTGGGGGTCTAGGGGCCATGTTGGGGCTCTTTTGGATGGCCTGGGGGGCCTTGGGGCAATTTTGGACACTCTTGGGTGCTCTTGGGGCCCTCTTCTGCGGGCCCCTCTCGGGGCTCTCTCGGGCCGTCTTGGCCGTCGCGAGGTCTCGAGAGCCCGTCGGGGGCGAGAAGGCGAGACGGAGACAGACATTGATTTCCTCTTTGTTTTCGAACCGTTTTGGCCTCTTTGGCGGGGTCGGTGGAGGACTCGGAGAGCACTTGAATTCGTCTTAGGATGTTTGTCGGAGGCTGCGTTGAGCCATATTGAGGTATGTCGAGCCATCTTGGAGGCTATCGCGGGCTCCTTCAGACCCTTTTGGAGCCGCCGCGGGCCATCTTGGACGCCCCGGCCCCTCCGCCCACCCCGTCTCCCAGGCCGGCCCAGGGGAGGGGCGGCGGGCGGGGGCGAGCCCCCCCCCCCCCCCTGCCGCAGGCCGCCCCGCTCGCTCCCACCCGCCCTCCCAACGCACAAGTGGCACCCGAGTCTCGGCGCGTCGCCGAGAAGCGCCGCGCGCGCCGCGGGGTCAGGCGCGCTGGGCGCCCTGGAGGTCCACGCGTGCGTGGCGCGACCAGTGCGGCGCGTGCTCCGCGAGCGCCACGCGCGCCGCGTACTCGAGCCGCGCCAGGTGCGCCACGTGCTCGGCGCGCGCAGCGCGTGCGAGGCGCGCCGATGCACGGCCGTCGCCGGGTTGGAGAGCCACGGCGCGCGAAAACGGACCCCGCGCGCGTCGGGCCCCAACCCCAGGGAGTTTTCGATGTCGGGCGTAGCCCGAATTTGTTTCTCTCTTTTTTTCTGTAGATCAAGTCCAACTTCAAGTCCGACTCCAAGTCCAACTGATTTGTCGCGCCCGTTTGGCGGCAGTTTTCTGTCCGGCCGCCCGTGGCCGCAACCTTGGGCGAACACAGTGGGCGACCGTTTTACTTCCGCGCAGCGGAGGGTGCAACCCGCGGCGCAATCTATCGGCGGCCGTTGCATGTCCGTAGCCATCTTGGCTCAATTTGGCTCGACCCGCATAAGCGTCTGCGTGTGTTTGGTTTGCACGGCGCTGGATCTCGCCACTTCTGCGCCATGGTCGATCAGCTGACAGGGGAGCAGATCGCGAAGCTCAAGGAGGCGTTCCCGTTGTTCGCTATGCATGGCAATGGCGCCATCGCAACGGAGCTCGGCACAGCCGCGCGCTTGCCTGGCCAGAACGCAACCGAGGCGGAGATGCAGGGCGCGCGGGCGGCAGCGGCGCGATCGACTTTCCTGAGCTTCTGTTGCTCATAGCGCGGAAGATGAAGGACGCAGACGCGGAGGAGGAGCTTGTCCAAGCACTCGAGGTGTTCGATCTGGACGGGGATGAGTCTATCAGCGCCGCCGAGCTGCGCCGCGCGATGGCAAGCCTCGGCGAGAGGCTCACTGGCGAGGGGGTCGGCGAGACGATTCGCGAGGCCGGCGTCGGTGGCGATGGGAAGACGATGGCTGAGCAGCGGCTGGCAGATCCAGGCAGTGAGCCGAGACATTCGTTTCGTTCGCGTTTCGAGGTTCAGCGGGAACCCGTTTTTTCTCGCAGTGCACGCCTGCCCTCGCGGCGCGCGCCCGGCACCGCTTGATTATCATTGATCGCGTCGCAGAGCCATGAACAAGTCGGCGGCCGTTTCCAGTCCGTTTCTGCCGGCGGAGGGCGCGACTTACGGCGCAATCGATGGGGGGCCGTTTTATGGTAGGGCGCAGCCGATGGCGCAATCGCTAGTTGGCCGTTTTATTCTCGGCCAGCGGCGGGCGCAACTCTATGGCGCGATCAACAGGAAGCCGCCTTTTTTCCGGATCCCATCGGCCATTGGCGGCCGCGTAACCCCCGCCGCCTTGCGCATCGACTGACTGGAATCTACGTGCTCCCAGCCACCTGAGCTGACGGGGTTCTGCCCGGGAGTGAGCCCTCGGGCATCGGAGCAGTGCTCTGGTACCCGCGCCACGCTTCTCAAAAACTAGCGCAGAGTGGTCGCCTGGGCGCCCGCGCGCGCTCCGGATTTGGAGGCAGAGTGCATTAGGTGTTGCTGTTTTGACAGGGACTGCTGGCTCGCGCGCCACTTCCGCGCACCAGATGCACAGAGCCAACGAGAGTGGTGGATGTGGCCCCCGCGGGTGCTCCAGAGCTGGAGCCGATGTGCATCTTGTTTCGTTGCTTGAGAGGGATGGTTTGCCTGTTCGCATCAGGCAATAATATGCCAGCCCCCCCGCCATCCCGATCCAAAAACCAGTGCAGAGTTGCCGCGGGGCGCCCGCCAAGTGGTCGCGGGGCGCCCGCGCGTGTTCGAGATTTGGAGGTCGAGTGCATTCGATATTGTTTTTTGAACGGGATGGCAGGGGGAGGCATGTCCCGGGTTTGCCCACCGTCGGGTGGGGGACGGGGTGCTCATCATTAAGAGCAGTGATGACACCCTCCCCCGAGCAGGGGAAGGAAGGGTCTTTGCAGAGAGCAGGCAAGGTTCGTTTCACCACCTACGCCCAGAGGGCTAGTGGGATTCACGCTCTCAGGGGGCACCGTAACAATCCGCATAGTGAGGATCGGCACCCTGCCCGAGGGTACCCTTGCATCCGTGCCTCCTCGGTCCACCCTGGGCCACTTTCGTGGGCCGCGCCCCGCTCGAGTCTCTTCGGCACGGCCTGCCAAGGCCCTCTGCATCCTTACCGTGCCTCCTTCTGATACGGGCCGGCCGTAAAGTGCCGCAGGAGTGCCACGTAGGGGGGGCCCGTTTTGCCCCTGAGAGTGGCCCCTCATTGGGCCACAGGGATCCCCCCGTAGAGCCGCAGGTAGGCGTTATTTCACAACGTGCACAGAGCCATCACAGATGTTCAATTTCTGTTGATACTCAAGAGTGGGAGTTGGTTGCCTCGAATCCGCGCGCATCCGACCTTGGAATGTGAGACTGTGTGCAATGTCGCTGCGCGAAGCTCGCTTTTTCAAGGCCGTCTGATACAGTTCACCTTCTGAGATATCGAACCATTGTGCTTGCAATTGTCTTGCTTTGTCGTGTCTTGTCTTGTGTAGTCTTGTGTTGTCTTGCCTTGTCTTGTCGTGTCGTGTCTTGTCGTGTCTTGTCTTGTGTTGTCTTGTTTTGTTTGTTCTTTCAGTGCATCCCACCACCACCCCCAGGCCGCGCACGTGCTTCCAGTCATGATCTTCGCACCCCCTTCCTGGACGCCCCCCTCTTGGGCGCCCCCGACAGGCGAGGGCCGAGGAGGCCAAGGGCAGGCTTCAGGAGGAGGAGGCGGAGGCCGCTCTGCTGTCCATGAGGGCGGCCCAGCAGAGGTCCCGCGAGGAGACGGTGCTCGAAGAAGAAACATGTCTCATTGTCGTCGGAATCATCCCCACCCCCACTGGGGCAGGGTAAGTTGGCTCTCCCAGCGTACCCCATTTGGATGGAGAGGGTTGCTCCAATGCGCAAAGGAGACGGGACCCATCCTTACCTCAAGGCGGAGTAGGATACCCATCGGGGCCAAGGTTTCTACGGTGGTGGTGGGGATTGTTTTCCTCGCCCGGAAATTGAATAAGCATAGACGTGCAGAACTCCGCGCGGATTTCTCGGATCTGCGATGGGCCCCCCTTGGCGGCTTGTCTGGCGCCGCACTTGGCGCGCTCCGCGCGCCTGTGAGGGGGGTGGGGGGGCAGCGCCGATCCAAGAAACCCCCGCGGGGCTCACAAAGCTTATGTTCCTGCCGTGTCCCGAAGATCCAACGTCGTGACTTCCGACAACGTATACGGGTCCCCGGAAGTCTTGACCCATCCCTCAGGACCGGTTTTGCATCCCGAGTCGTGTTATGACGGTCCCGAGGCCGGGTGGGGGCCCCCAGAGGCTGCAAGGGCGCCCTCGAGGGCGCGAAGTTATTCGCGCTTCGCGCTTCGCGGTTCGGCTCCGATTCCTCCTCATCCTCCTCTCCTCCCCTGGGAGGCGGCGCGAGAGCGCGAAGTTATCCGCGCTTCGCGCAGCGCGAAGCGCGAAGTTGGGAGCCCTTAAGGCCGAACGCTGCGCAAAACCTCCGTCGTGATTTGTTGGTCCAATGGCTGGATCTCGGGGCTTCTGTCGCCTGCAGGTGCGCCGCGTCCACGAGCAGGCGTCCCGCCTGGCGGCGCAGGAGGGCGAGCTGGGCCTGCGGGAGCTGGCCGCGGCCCGCCGGCTGGAGGAGCTGAAGGCCTCCAGCCGCGAGGCGCAGAGGAGGGCACTGGCGGCGGAGCGGGAGGTGGAGGGCCTGGCCGCCGGCTACGAGGAGCTGCTGCAGCTCCTACTCCGCCTCCTCCGCCTCCTCCGCCTCCTCCGCCTCCTCCGCCTCCTCCTCCTCCTCCTCCTCCTCCTCCTCCTCCTCTTCCTCCTCCTCCTCCTCCCCCTCCTCCTCCCCCAGACCTCCTCGCGTCGTGAACAAAAAGAAGCACGACGGGAGGTCTGTTGTCGCTATCTTCGGCCTCCGGAGGCCCTCGCGGGGCCTCGGGGCCGTCAAGAGACGACTCGGGACGAGAAACTGGCCCCGGGGAACGGGTCCAGACTTCTGGGGGTCGACGCCGTGAACAAAAATCATTCAGGAGGGAACAAAAACACACAGACACAATTTCATCTTCGATTCCCCAGAAAATATTGGAAAAGCTGGGAAGTGGGGGGGAAGACAAAAACCCAGAACAGATGGGAAAATTGGGGGAATCTTTGCATTTGTGTGTATTTCTTTGTATGTCCTGGGGCCCCTTCAATCACGGCGTCGGGGGTCTGGGCACGAGGAGCTGCTGCAGCGGGAGCGGGCGGCGTCGCAGCTGGCGGAGGGGCTTCGCGCGCAGGCCGCGGAGCTGGAGGGGCGGGCGGCGAAGTGGAGACCCAGAGATCCGATGTCGTGATCTTTTTTAGGGGGCCACATGCGAGCCCTACCCCTACCCCCCAAGATTTCGGATGGGCAGGGTGGGGTTCACGTAAGTGGCCCCCTCAGAAGTGGAGGCCCAGAGATCCGACGTCGTGATCTCTTTTAGGGGGCCACATGCGAGCCCTACCCCTACCCCCCAAGATTTCGGATGGGCAGGGTGGGGTTCCCTTGTGGCCCCCTTATAGAAGTGGAGACCCAGAGATCTGATGTCGCGATTCTCTTGAAAAGCGGGGTCTCCGGAAGTCTCGACCCCTTCCCCAGGACTGGTTTTGCACCCCGATTAGTTTTTTGACGGTCCCGAGGCCCGGTATAAGGGCCCCCCGAGGCCGAACGAAGACAGCAACAGAAACCTCCGTCCGGATTTTGTCCGATGCGTTGGATCTCCGGGGAGATGCTGCCCAGGATGCGAAGCTCCAGGGCACGGAGGGCTGCCCGTCCCCACTGCTGCAGCACCAGAGCGTCGACTCGACCCGCTGCGACCCCTGCGAGACCAGCCTCGGCAGCCTCCGCAACCAGAGCCTGGAGTTTGCCCCGCTCGACCACGGCGACGACGGAGGCCCATCGGGGGAGCCAGCACAACGGACCCCCGACGTCGAGATTTGATTCCACAGCTCACCAGCCTCGAACGTATCCCTATCCCTAAGATTGACACGCCAAAAGGCGATGACAATCTCAGGGATCCGCCCTCAAAATATATATGGGAATCCCTGAGATTGGCATCGTGATGAGGAGGTGCCCAGCACAGGGATAGGGATATGCTATGTGTCCAGGCTGGTAAACAGCGTCGACCCCCAGAGGTCTGGGCCCCTTCGCCGGGACCGGTGTTTTTCATCCCGAGTTGCTTTCTGACGGTCCATGGGGCCCGGTAAGGACCCCCCGGAAGCCGAACACCCAGAGACCCGACGTCGTGGGTTTTTCAAGACGGGGTCCCTGGAATCAATTCTCGACCCATTCTTCTGGACCGGTTTCTCATCCTGAGACGTTTTTTTTGTCGGTCCCTTTGTTCATCCTCGGTCGTCTTTTGTCGGTCCCGAGGCCCCGGAAGGGCCCCTTATAGAGGCCGAAAAGAGGGAACAGGATCCGTCGTGAGTTCCTCCCTGCGCAGGACCTCCACGACGAATGTTCTTCGCAGCTCTCGGCCTCGAGGAGCCCTCGCCGGGCCCTGGGACTGTCAACAAAACGACTCAGCATGCAACACCGGTCCTGAGGAAGGGGTCGAGACTTCCGGGGATCCCGTCTTGAAAAATTCACGACAACGGATCTCTGGGTGCGCCGGACCTCCTGGGCTTAGTGGGCGCTGGAAACGACAGGGCCGTTTTTTTACCGGTTCCGTTTCGCCGTTGTTTTGCTGGTTCCGACGCCGTTTTTTTACCGGTTCCGTCGCCGTTCTTTCACGGGCTCCCGCTCCGGTTCCAATCCTGGAGCCGCTTTTGTTGCGGTTTCCGGTCGCTGTTTTTTTGCCGTTTCCGTTTTCAAGGGGCATTGTGTCGGAAACGGTGAACAAAACGGCCCTGCCGTTTCCGGGCCCACTGAGGGAGGCAGCGCCTCGTTCGGTGACAATTCATGGGAGCCTCCCATCTCAGCTTGTCGGCTCTTGCGGGCGCCCGACTCTGGATCGACGCTAGATCGACGCTGAGAAACGCGAATCGACGCTGGTCGACGCTACATCGACGCCAAATCGACGCTGGCGGGGGCCCACTATCGGCTCCTGGGCATCCCGCAAATGTGCACCTCCCGCCACACGTGCCGTTCCCCGCGCGCTGCGCGGCGCCACATCGGGCCCACGGCCGGGGCCCCTCTGCGCACAGGCGGCCCGGGTTCGTACACAGGCCGGCCCGCTGCCAGAGCAAGGGCGCCCTTCCTCGTGCCCGTATCTTGCGGCCCATGCCTCCTGCACTTCTGTGGCAAAGTGGCCCCCGGAGGGGCCTTGTGTCCTCTCGCGCGTCCTCTCCATTCCAGTCCTCAGAGATCCGAGGTCCTGGGAGGCGGCACAAAAATATTGTGGCATCCGAAGACGCCCAGAGATCCGACCTCGTGATTTTTCAAGACGGGGCCCCCGGAAGTCTCGACCCCTTCCCCGGGACCGGTTTTGCATCCCGAGTCGTTTTCTGACGCTCCCGAGGCCCGGCAGAAGGGCCCCCAGAGAGGCCGAAAAGAGGGACACAGCCCCCCGTCGTGGTTGTGTCCATGCACCTTCGACCTCTGGGGTGGCCCCTCGGCAGGGCCTCGTGCCCCCTCGCGCGCCCCCTCCGTTCAATCTATATATATATATATATGTATAGACGGCAGAAAGGCCTCCCGGCGAGGGAGCTGCCCGAGGGGGCGCGGTCGCCCGAGCTCGAGCGCTCGGTGTCCCGCACGCGCTCGCGGATGCTGCAGCACCTCGCCTGGTCGCACGGGCAGCTCGCGCCCGCCGCGGCGGCCTCGGCGGGCGGAGGCGGCCGCCGCCGCGGGCGGAGCCAGTCGCCGGCCAGGGCCTCGGCGGGCCACCAGGTGGGGCCAGAGCCCCGAAGCAGCAGGGGCCACTCGGGCCGGGGCGAGCCCGGAGACCCGACGCAGAATGGAAACGATCACGACGGAGGCGTTTCCCCCTCGTCGGCCTCTCGGGGCCCGTATATACCAGGCCCCGGGGCCGTCACAAAACGGCTCAGGATGAAGAACCGGTCCAGAGGCATGGGTCGAGACTTCCGGGGACCCCGTCTTGAAAAATTCACGACAACGGATCTTTGGGAACTCGGGTTCGTTTTTCGGGAATCTGGGCCCGAGTTGCCCGAGGCCCGAGCTACTCCGCGGAGAATTCGGGCGTCCGGAGCCCCGAAGCATCAGGGGCAATTCGGGTCAGGGCTAACTCGGGCTCGTTTTTCGGGAACCCGGGCCCGAGTTACCCGGGGCCCGAGTTTCCCCGGAGAACTCGGGCGCCCAAGTCTGGAGACGCCAATCGTTCGAGGCGAGGGTCGACTACAGAATTGATTTACCCCAGAATGGAATCTCAGCCTCGAATTTACGACAGATGCGCAGGATCTTCGCAAATCCATGGAGAACTCGAAGTGTTTACCCGTGCCCAGAGATCCGCCGTCGTGAATTTTTCAAAACGGGGTCCCCGGAAGTCTCGACCCATTCCTCTCGTCCGGTTTTTCATCCTGAGTCGTTTTTTGGCGGTTCCGAGGCCCAGTATGGGCCCCTAAGGCCGAAAGCTGGAAAAAACCTCCGTTGTGATTTTTTCATCGCGTTGGACCCCTGGGTCCATTCGACGAGGAAGATCATTCTGGGGTAGGGTGGACCAACTTTGCAGTCGATCCTCTACTGGAACTGTCCAGGCACACAGACCAGGGCATGTCCAGGCCCCAGAGACCCAGGGTCTGTACGTGGTCGCGTGCTTCTGGCGCTGCCGGGCACCTCTTATCCTCGGCGGTGGAATCCCAGAGATCGGACGCATTGAACAAAAACACGACGGAGGTTCTTCGCTAGTTTCGGCCTGTAGGAGCCCTCGCCGGGCCTCGGGAGCGTCACAAAACGACTCGGGATGCAAAACCGGTCCTGGGGAAGGGGTCGAGACCCCATATTGAAATTTCACGTCATCGGATCTATGGGATTCCAGGACCACCGACGTCTTCCATGTTGCTCGATCCCAGACCCCCGACGTCATGATTTTTTCATGACGTCGACCCCCAGGGGTCTCGACCCATACCCTGGGACCAGTTTTGCATCCTGGGTCGTTTTTGACGCCCCCGAGGCCCGGTAAGGGCCCCCGGAGGCCGAAAGTGGCGACAAACCTCCCGTCATGATTTTTTCATTGCCCGCAGGGGTCTGGGATTCGAGGGCCCAGGAGCTCTCGACCTCTTCTTTCTGGGTTCTCTTTTAGTGTCTATGATGACCCCAGGGCCAGAGAAACGGCCCGCGGAGGCCGAGACTGGGCCACAGAAGCTCCCGTGGTCAGAGCATGGCCAGCAAGCATCGGTGCGAGTGTGCAGATGTCGGCGAGCGGGAGGCATACCCAGACATGATGCTCGCGTTCAGGACGGCAAGTTTTTCATAATTTTCGGCCCCCGGGGGCCTTCGCCGGGCCCCAGGAGCATCAAAAAACGTATCAGGATGAACAACGGGCCCTTTGGAAAGGGTCGGGACTTCCGGGGACGTCGCATGTGTAGGTAGCCATTCGACTGCCTCGCGGGCCAAGCCCCTGGGCCAAGACCCCATGGAAACGGAGCGTTTTTTTTCGCGGACGCCCCGCGAAGAACATATACTTGGCCTGATCCTGACCGCGTGGGCGTGGCTATGGACATGTTCCCAGAGATCCGATGTTGTGAGTTTTTCGATGCGGGGTCCCCGGCAGTCTCGACCCCACCGGCTTTTCATCCCGAGTCGTCTTCTGGCGGTGCCGAGGCCCAGTAAGGGCCCAAATATAGAAGCCGAGCAGAAGGCAAAGCCTCCGTCGCGCTTTCTCCCATCCCCTGCACCTCGGGGCTCGCCGCTCGCCACGGGGGGCGCCCTCCCGAGGTGCCCCGCCTGCACCACCTCGGGCCCGGCGCCTCTTCGCGGGCCGAGCCGCCCGGCCCCAGGGCCGCCGCGGAGCTGCGCGCCGCGGCGCTCGCCCGGCCGCGGAGCCCGGCCGGGCTCCTCCCCGCGCAGCAGGTCGGGGGCATGCATGCGAACCCTGCCCCCTGCCCCCCACGATTTCTGAGGGGGGGGGTCACTTCGCTCGGGAGCTCCCAGACGAAGTGAACCCCTCCCCCCCCCTCAGAAATCGTGGGGGGCAGGGGCAGGGCTCGCATGTGGCCCCCCAGCAGGGGCGGCTGCGGTCGCTGCGGACCGCCCCCCCGCTGCTCGATCCGGGGCTGCCGGGCGCCGCGTGGCAGGGCTTCTCGGTGCTCAGGAGGAAAGAAACACACAGAGAGAAACAGTGAATCGTCCATTCCCCAGAAAACATATGGGAAACCATGGGAAGTGGGGGGGGAGACAAAAGCCCAGAACATGTGGAAAGATGTTGGGATCCTGGTATGTGTGTCTATTTATTTGTGTGTTTCAGGCCAGAGATCCGTCGTCGTGAATTTTCCAAGACGGGGTCCCCGGAAATCTCGACCCATTCCTCTCGACCGGTTTTTCGTCCCGAGTCGTTTTTCGACGGTCCCGAGGCCGGTATAAGGGCCCTGATGGCCGAAAATTGCGAAAAACCTCCGTCGTGATTTTCTCATTACGTTGGATCTTGTTATCTGTGTCTATTCTTTTGTGTGTCTCGGGGCCCCTTCAGGTGCTCGCCCCCGCGGCGGCGCACGGCGGCCGCGGCGGGGGCGAGCACCGCGGCGGCCGCGGCAGCCACGGCGCCGGCCCGGTGCCGGCCGCGGAGCAGCCCGCAGGGGCGCCGGAGGCCCGGGAGGCAGAGGAGGGAAAGGGCCCCGACCACCACCGCTGCGCTCGTCCCGGGGACCCAGTTCAGAGCCCCGAATCATCAGGGGTAACTCGGGTCAGGGATAACTCGGGTTCCTTTTCCGGGAATCCAAACCCGAGTTACCCCGGACCCGAGTTACCCCGGATAACTCGGGCGCCCAGAGCCCCGAATCATCAGGGGTAACTCGGGTCAGGGATAACTCGGGTTCCTTTTTCGGGAATCCAAGCCCGAGTTACCCCGGACCCGATTTACCCCGGATAACTCGGGCGCCCAACCAGTGATCTCCAAAGTATGGGAGAAACCACGACGGAGGTGTTTCGCTATTTTCGGCCTCGAGAAGCCCTCGCTGGGCCTCGGGAGCCTCAGAAAACGACTGGGCATGGAAAACACCGGTTCCGGGGAGGGGGTCGAGTCTTCCAGGGGGCCCCGTCTTGAAAAATTCACGACGACCGATCTCCTGGTCAGGCTGCCACGGCCGGACTCTCCTCGAAGCGCTGGTCGGTGTCGGTAGGTGTCGGTTCCCCCGGGAGTCGGCACAAACATTGTGGCATTCGGAGACACCCAGAGATCCGACCTCGTGATTCTTTCAATGCGGGGTCTCCGGAAGTCTCGAACCCTTCCCAGGACCGGTGTTGCATCCTGAGTCGTTGTTTGACCGTCCCGCGGCCCGCCGAGGGCTTCTCGAGGCCGAAAACTGCGAAAAACCTCCGTCGTGATTTTTTGTTCCCGATGCGTTGGACCTCTGGGTGCGCGCGGGTCTCTGGGACTGGTTCTGGGCCTCCCCTCCGCGCGCCCCCTCCCCTGCGCGCGGATAACGCGGCGCGGGAGGCGCTGCCCGAAGAAGTCCGCGCGAGATCATGATGGTGTTTCTGCCCCCCAGGTTTTTCGGCGGCGAGCCCGGGCGGGGGGGGGGGGAGTGAGAAGGGGCGGGCCTCCCCCCCAGAGATCCAACGAGCTGAAGCAGTCACGACGGAGGTTTTCCCCAGTCTTCGGCCCGGGTCCTCGCCGTGCCTCGGGACCGACAGAAAACGGCTCGGGATGAAAAGCCGGTCCTGGTGCATGGGTCGAGACTTCGGGGGACTCCGCATTGAAAGGCTCACGACGTCGGATCTCTGGGTCCGAAGACACGGGACACCTGTCCGCAGTCTGGATGGGGGGGCTTCTGAGCAGCCCCGCCGCCTTCTGAGAAGGCCTCCTCCTCCTCCTCCTCCTCCTCCTCCTCCTCACTTTCCCCCCCCCCCCCCCGCTCGCTCGCCGCCGGATTTGGTTTTTGGGCCATATAGCTCGGGTCTCCGGCGGGCGCTCGGGACGACGGCTGGGCACCCCCCGGGAACGCTCTCGGCGAGGCGCCGCCGTTTTTGAGCGCATCCCGAGGGCGGGAGGCCGCCGAGGGAAGCGGCGGAGACGCCCGAAGACCTGTGGAGAGGGCCTCGACGCTCGAGCCTCGAAGCTGGAGCCTCGAAGCTCCCCCCTGCGCCCGCCGTATAAGCCAGCTCTCCCATAATGAATATGTAGAGGCAGAGGCCGAGGCGCCCGCCGCGCCCCGGGAGGGGCCGGGCGAGGTGGTGCTGGCGGCCCTGTGCGCGCGGCGGTGCGCGGCCGAGGAGGCGGAGGAGGAGCGAGAAGGAGTTGCCGCCCCGTCGGCCCGGGAGAGCACGGCGGAGCAGGAGCGCAAGCAGTGGCGAAGCGTCCATGGCCCGCCGATGTAGGCCCACCAGAGAATGTTCTCTGAGAGCCTTGTGTGGTCTGCACGGAAGGTGCTTCGAACACGTCTGGCTGGGACTTGTCTTGTTTTTAAACACGTGGTGCTAACGTTAGAAGAACACTGTCTGGTTCTCAGCAGAGTTCTGGGTTCTAACATCATGTCGTGGTAGACCTATAGAAGTGCCGGGACGGTCGGTCCCTGCCCATAAGGAGTCGGGCCCGGCCCTGTGCGCCCGGCAGAGCGCGGCGGAGCTCGCGTCGCCCGCACAGGTGGAGCAGGAGTCGGGCCCGGCCCCGTGCGCCCAGCAGAGCGCGGCGGAGCAGGCGTCGCCCGCACAGGCTCGAAGAAGAAGAGACGCCATAAACATAAACTTTTGGCGCTCCGCGCAGCTTTCTTGGATCCGCGCTGGGCCCCCAGCGGCGCCTCTGGCGCCTGCGGGGGCGCCCCTGGCGCGCTCCGCGCGCCAGGGAGGGGGGTCCAGCGCTGATCCAAGAAATCCGCGCGGAACGCCACAAGTTTATGTTTATGGTGTGTTTTCCTCCACTACAGTTAGGTCGGGCATGTCCCCAACAGGCAGTTTTTGGGCGAAGCATCATCAATTGCGTCGCCCGCACAGGCAGTGAGAAGGGGCGGGCCTCCCCCCCAGAGATCCAACGAGCTGAAGCAGTCACGACGGAGGTTTTCCCCAGTCTTCGGCCCGGGTCCTCGCCGTGCCTCGGGACCGACAGAAAACGGCTCGGGATGAAAAGCCGGTCCTGGTGCATGGGTCGAGACTTCGGGGGACTCCGCATTGAAAGGCTCACGACGTCGGATCTCTGGGTCCGAAGACACGGGACACCTGTCCGCAGTCTGGAGGGGGGGGGGCTTCTGAGCAGCCCCGCCGCCTTCTGAGAAGGCCTCCTCCTCCTCCTCCTCCTCCTCCTCCTCCTCCTCCTCCTCCTCCTCCTCCTCACTTTCCCCCCCCCCCCCCTCGCTCGCCGCCGGATTTGGTTTTTGGGCCATATAGCTCGGGTTCCGGCGGGCGCTCGGGACGACGGCTGGGCACCCCCCGGGAACGCTCTCGGCGAGGCGCCGCCGTTTTTGAGCGCATCCCGAGGGCGGGAGGCCGCCGAGGGAAGCGGCGGAGACGCCCGAAGACCTGTGGAGAGGGCCTCGACGCTCGAGCCTCGAAGCTGGAGCCTCGAAGCTCCCCCCTGCGCCCGCCGTATAAGCCAGCTCTCCCATAATGAATATGTAGAGGCAGAGGCCGAGGCGCCCGCCGCGCCCCGGGAGGGGCCGGGCGAGGTGGTGCTGGCGGCCCTGTGCGCGCGGCGGTGCGCGGCCGAGGAGGCGGAGGAGGAGCGAGAAGGAGTTGCCGCCCCGTCGGCCCGGGAGAGCACGGCGGAGCAGGAGCGCAAGCAGTGGCGAAGCGTCCATGGCCCGCCGATGTAGGCCCACCAGAGAATGTTCTCTGAGAGCCTTGTGTGGTCTGCACGGAAGGTGCTTCGAACACGTCTGGCTGGGACTTGTCTTGTTTTTAAACACATGGTGCTAACGTTAGAAGAACACTGTCTGGTTCTCAGCAGAGTTCTGGGTTCTAACAACATGTCGTGGTAGACCTATAGAAGTGCCGGGACGGTCGGTCCCTGCCCATAAGGAGTCGGGCCCGGCCCTGTGCGCCCGGCAGAGCGCGGCGGAGCTCGCGTCGCCCGCACAGGTGGAGCAGGAGTCGGGCCCGGCCCCGTGCGCCCAGCAGAGCGCGGCGGAGCAGGCGTCGCCCGCACAGGCTCGAAGAAGAAGAGACGCCATAAACATAAACTTTTGGCGCTCCGCGCAGCTTTCTTGGATCCGCGCTGGGCCCCCAGCGGCGCCTCTGGCGCCTGCGGGGGCGCCCCTGGCGCGCTCCGCGCGCCAGGGAGGGGGGTCCAGCGCTGATCCAAGAAATCCGCGCGGAACGCCACAAGTTTATGTTTATGGTGTGTTTTCCTCCACTACAGTTAGGTCGGGCATGTCCCCAACAGGCAGTTTTTGGGCGAAGCATCAACAATTGCGTCGCCCGCACAGGCAGTGAGAAGGGGCGGGCCTCCCCCTCAGAGATCCAACGAGCTGAAGCAGTCACGACGGAGGTTTTCCCCAGTCTTCGGCCCGGGTCCTCGCCGTGCCTCGGGACCGACAGAAAACGGCTCGGGATGAAAAGCCGGTCCTGGTGCATGGGTCGAGACTTCGGGGGACTCCGCATTGAAAGGCTCACGACGTCGGATCTCTGGGTCCGAAGACACGGGACACCTGTCCGCAGTCTGGAGGGGGGGGGCTTCTGAGCAGCCCCGCCGTCTTCTGAGAAGGCCTCCTCCTCCTCCTCCTCCTCCTCCTCCTCCTCCTCCTCCTCCTCACTTTCCCCCCCCCCCCCCTCGCTCGCCGCCGGATTTGGTTTTTGGGCCATATAGCTCGGGTTTCCGGCGGGCGCTCGGGACGACGGCTGGGCACCCCCCGGGAACGCTCTCGGCGAGGCGCCGCCGTTTTTGAGCGCATCCCGAGGGCGGGAGGCCGCCGAGGGAAGCGGCGGAGACGCCCGAAGACCTGTGGAGAGGGCCTCGACGCTCGAGCCTCGAAGCTGGAGCCTCGAAGCTCCCCCCTGCGCCCGCCGTATAAGCCAGCTCTCCCATAATGAATATGTAGAGGCAGAGGCCGAGGCGCCCGCCGCGCCCCGGGAGGGGCCGGGCGAGGTGGTGCTGGCGGCCCTGTGCGCGCGGCGGTGCGCGGCCGAGGAGGCGGAGGAGGAGCGAGAAGGAGTTGCCGCCCCGTCGGCCCGGGAGAGCACGGCGGAGCAGGAGCGCAAGCAGTGGCGAAGCGTCCATGGCCCGCCGATGTAGGCCCACCAGAGAATGTTCTCTGAGAGCCTTGTGTGGTCTGCACGGAAGGTGCTTCGAACACGTCTGGCTGGGACTTGTCTTGTTTTTAAACACATGGTGCTAACGTTAGAAGAACACTGTCTGGTTCTCAGCAGAGTTCTGGGTTCTAACAACATGTCGTGGTAGACCTATAGAAGTGCCGGGACGGTCGGTCCCTGCCCATAAGGAGTCGGGCCCGGCCCTGTGCGCCCGGCAGAGCGCGGCGGAGCTCGCGTCGCCCGCACAGGTGGAGCAGGAGTCGGGCCCGGCCCCGTGCGCCCAGCAGAGCGCGGCGGAGCAGGCGTCGCCCGCACAGGCTCGAAGAAGAAGAGACGCCATAAACATAAACTTTTGGCGCTCCGCGCAGCTTTCTTGGATCCGCGCTGGGCCCCCAGCGGCGCCTCTGGCGCCTGCGGGGGCGCCCCTGGCGCGCTCCGCGCGCCAGGGAGGGGGGTCCAGCGCTGATCCAAGAAATCCGCGCGGAACGCCACAAGTTTATGTTTATGGTGTGTTTTCCTCCACTACAGTTAGGTCGGGCATATCCCCAACAGGCAGTTTTTGGGCGAAGCATCAACAATTGCTTCAAACATATAGAACATGTCAAACATAATGGAAACATCGTTCCCGGATTATTTTTGACTAAGCGGAGGAGCCGGTTCTCGCCGACGGCGCCCAGCGCGAGCAGGTGCGGCGGGTGCGCGTGTGGGTAAAGGACCTGCACGAAGTCTGCAGGGTGTCCTTCGAGTATGGCGACGGCACCGCGCGGGCCTTCGGGCAGGACGGGGGCCTGGAGCAGTTCCCCTTCGTCGTGCCTCCTGGGGAGCACATTGTCAAGCTTCACTCCCGCTGTCGCCACGAGACCACTGGGACGCTGCTAGGGACTCCGTACATGCACGAGGGCTGCTGCTTTGAGACGAACCAGGACAGGCGCAGCCTCTGGTACGGAGGCAACGGCGGCACCCTCAGCACCTTCACCGCCTCCGACGGTCACCACATCACGGGGTTCAACACGCTGGGTGGTCTGAAGAGCGGCGTCCCCATCGGCATCGAGGAGCAGACGCTGGTGAGCATGCACGACCTCGCCTGCGCTGGACACCTGTGCGACCTGACCTTGACCAGCATCCGGCAGCTGGCCATTGAAAATGACTCTTGGTACGAATTGCAGACGCAGCAGGAGCTTGAGAGGGTGACCACCAGAGGCGCAGCGGAACCAGGCCAGTACGTGGCGTCGTTCGAGGAGATGCGGCACCGGGAAGACATGTACGACGCAGTTGCCAGGGACGACCAGGACGCCTGGGAGAATTTGGCCCAAGGCTCGGACTTGGCACGGGCGGACTTCCAGCGCCTCAGGGAGGTGTGGAAAGAGGCCGCCCAGCTTGGGAGCCAGGCAAGCCGCACCGGCGTCTGCGAGGCCATCGCAGAGGCCGCGCGGGATAATGTGCTCTGCTTGTCGTGTGGCGGCCAAGGCTGCGGCCTTTGCAGGGCGCGCGATTTCCTGAGCTGGGCGAGGCGTCGGTTAGCCACCGAGGTCCAGGAACGGCAAGAGCCTGAGTGGACAGCCGCCAGAGTGGCACCGCCTCAGGTGAGCACCGCGGACAGGGGGCCCGTGTGCGCCTTCCAGCACTTCTCTCACCAGAGAGCCGAGCGTGCCGCGATTTCCTGAGTTGGTCGAGGCGGGGTTGCTGAGCAACAGCTGCCCTCCCTGCTCGGCACGATGTGCCTGCCCGTGTAGCTTGGGCGGGTAGTGTTTTTTTAGCATGCGAAGCATCAGTCTGCGACTGTTTTTGCGGCCTTCGGTTCGGCCCAGCGTTCGCAGGTCCCGTTCAGTCCTGACACTGATCGGCCTGAGGCCACTTGGTGATGGCATGGCGAAGGCTAACGTTACCTCACAGGTGCCTGGGCCCCGCCGCCGAAACGGCGCCGAAGGCCCAGCGCGGCAGCAGCAATTCTGCCCCGCACGGAGGAGCGACGTCGGGCTGCCTGGAAAGCTGCCCCCCGCCCGCGCGCTCAGGACGCGCCCCTCTTTGTTTGTCTTATTCTTCTCCTTCTCCTCCGCCTCTTCCTCCTCCGCCTCCTCCTGCTCGCTCATCCTCCTCATCCTCCCCGTTCCGCCTTCTCGCTCCTCCTCCTCCTCCTCCTCCTCCTCCTCCTCCTCCTCCTCCTCCTCCTCCTCCGCATCCGTCTCCTCCTCCGCCTCGTCCTCTTCGTTCTTCCTCCTCCTCATCATCTTCCTCCTGCTCCTCCTCCACCTTCGTAGCCACTGTGGCTCAAGGTTTGTTTTTGGGGTCCTCACATGGGAATGGATACCGCTAGTCCGCGGCCAGACCTTGCCTTCAGCCAAGCCCAGGGACGAGCTGCCATCCATTCCTGCTTTCCTATCCTGGTTTTGCAGGCCGCCTTCCATATCATTGTCTCGTCAAAGCCGTTCCGAGTATCCATATCGCTTCGTCGAGCCCCGCTCCGAGCTTCCATATCCCCGCCGAGCTCGTCACCGAACCGCTCCCGTCACGTACTGGCAGCGCTGCGCGCCTGGCCGCTGGTGTACAGCAGCCCTTCGCGGACATCAGCTGTAGCCCGTCCTTCGATATCATCTCGCCACCATGGACAGCAGCACCAGCAGCTCTAGCGGCAACGAGCGCTCTGCACCTCGCAGCCCCCATGCATCGCAAGCCCCACGCCGCCGCCGTCAGAAAGCGGGACATCGCGATCCAGCTGGACATCGTGACCGTGCCCATCGCCAAGCAGACCGCCCCCGTGCCGAAGCTGCCCGCGGGACCCCCGCATCCCTCCAGCGCGAAGACGTCGTCCCTACATGCCGCTCCTCGGGCCACGCTGCACCACGATTCTCCCGCACGGCACGGCTCCCCTGCTCGCCCCGCCTCCGCTGGCCCGTCGGGCGATGGACCACGCCACGACGGTGCCCAAGGACAAGCTCCATGGAAACCGGCGGCCGACATGGACATAAAAGTGCCCAACCTTCCCATCGCTGACAGCCTTCACATGGAGCTGCCCATCCTGTCGCACCTGCTCCCCCCTGATGAAGTGCATCCTGCACCTGGCCCCGCCCCAGCCGCTCGTCTCTCTGACCTCCCTGAAGAAAGAGACGCCGCACTCCAGAGCCTCATGCAGATCACCATCGCCGCCGGCGCCGACCGCCTCTCCTCGAGGAGTCCCGCGAGAGCTGCCGCTCCCTGCTTCAGCAGCAGGTCCGGCAGACCGAGCGCCGCCTGGACGACCTTCGCGATGCGGTCTCCCGTGCCCGCCGCGAGCAGGACCGCCAGGTCGCCGACCAGAAGCGCAGGTGACAGCACACCGACCGCATGCGTGACACCCTCGCCCTCGCCGAGGCCCAGATCCCCATCGCGGACCTCGCGCGCATCGAGGGATGGGGCCGCGCCCCTGAACCCACGGTCTTCACCATTGGCTGCCAGCGCCTCGTCTCGCCCGACATCCTCCTCAATGACCTGCAGGAGTGGATCGGTGGCGCTTGATGGGCCTGTTTTCCACCACCACCACCATAAGTTGGAGGGGGGGAAGGAGAAGGATGACGAGGAGGAGGAGGAGGAGGAGGACGAAGAGGAGGAGGAGGAGGAGGAGGAGGACGAAGAGGAGGACGACGAAGAGGAGGAGGAGGAGGAGGAGATGGAGGAGGACCCCCTCCCCCTCCAACTTCTAGTGGTGGTGGTGGAAAACCGTCCCATTAAGCGCTGGCCTTCCGTCCGACCACGTGGACCTCCACGGCCGCCTGCCCGCCGCTTCGCTCTAGAAGTCCACGGCGCTCGCGAGGTCGCCGTGCCCCGCGCCCTCGCGCGGCGGCGTGCCCTGCGAGATGCCGCGGGGAGATCGAAGCGCTTCGCCAGCGCCGACACCGCTGGGCAGCGCGTCGGCCCCCACCTCCATGGCGACCAGTCGCCGAAGCGAGCCCGCGCCGAGATGCAACGCGAGAGAAGCTCCCATCGCTGCTCCCACGCCAGTCTCCCATCCCGCACATGGCGGACCCTCCGCGACATGGGGCGAGATCCGCAGCCTCGCCGTGCCCGTCGCCCGCCTCGGCGCCCGCGGCCAGGCCGACTCCGCCGCCCCCGCGCGGGGCAAAAACGGCCCTGGAGCCCGAGCGGCTCCACGACGTCGACGCGGCCGCCCTCTCCTCCTTCCGGGCCCTCCTCCCGGACGCCGAGTCCGCCGCGCGGCGTTCCTGACCGCCCCATGGGCGCCGTGGCCGGCGCCCGAGGGCTCGTCGCCAGCCGCCTCCGTCGGCCGGGGCGCGCCCGCGCGCGGCTGCGCCGCGGGCGCGAGCGGGCCCCCCTCGCCGGTGCGTCCTCCTCCTTGGAGAGGTCCGCGGCTCCGAGGCGCTGCTCTGCTCGCGGGTGGGCGCGCGGCCGTGCCCGTGCCAGGTTTTGCCCAGAGATCCAACGCATGGAGCAAATCACGACGGAGGTCTCTCGCAGTTCTCGGCCTCGAGGAGCCCTCGCCGGGCCGCGGGGCCGTCCAAAAACGACTCGGGATGCAAAACCGGTCCTGGGGAAGGGGTCGAGACTTCTGGAGACCCTGGGCTCATCTAGCTGCTCGCCGTCACTAGCGCCGCCTCCCGCAACGCCCTGGCCCTGATGAGCGTCCACTTCCACGAATTGGCTGCGCGCGATCGTGACTGTGCCCGCGCTACTTAGCAGATGCACCGCGAATGGGCGGACCAGGATCACCATGCAGCACCGCGCGTGTTTGGCAATGGGCGACTTCAACATGGCCAGCCGTCCTCCCAGCAGCTTTTCCCAGCCGTGGCCCCAGCGTGCCCGCCTCTCGACCGACAGCAACAGCCGCCAGCAGCAGCCCTTTCAGAAGGCGCTCTTCGATTCCATGCTCGAGGTCGAATCGGACCAACCAGTCAGGTCTAACATGTCTGACAACGCGGCGTCCGCGATCGACCGCGTCTTCATCGGCCCCCCATCTCTCGCCGCGCAGGGGCTCACCTTGCGGGTCTACGTCGCCCGCGACGCCGCCGCCCTGTTGGACAGGCGCATTAGCGATCGCGCCGTCGTCACTTTTGCCGGTGACATCCAGCCTCGCGCGCCGTCCGCCGAGCAGGCTGCTCCGCCTGCGATCTTCCGCGACCCGCGCTGCGTCGGGGACTTCCAGCAGCTGGTTGACGCCTCGAACACCGCCCGCGCCCCCTCCGTGCACCGCCGGCGGTCCTGCGAGCGCCTCGTCGCAGAAGCCGCTCGCGTGGTTCGCGAGCATGGGGTTCGCCCGCCTGCCGGCGGCGCCGCCCGCCTCGGCCGCTCCTGGCCGCGCCCGGGCCGCGCGCTCCACATCCAGTGCTGCGTGGCGCCGGGACATCACCCTCGACGGGCGCCCCCAGTCCACCGCCGACCTAGGCAAGCAGCGCTTGCCCATCGCCGACGGCGGCATCGCCTCTGAGAGCCCCGCCCTCTTCGCCAGCCTCTCGGCCCCCCTGCGCCTCGGCTTCGAGGCTCGCGCTGGCTCTCTGGCCCAGGAGCGCCGCGCGTAGCCCCCGAGCGCAGGACGGAGCCGTTCCCCTCGGACGCCTCTCTGGGCCCCCTGGAAGCGCCCTCTAGTCTTGCAGGGGGACAGGACCAGGGCCCTTACCCAGAGATCGAACGTATTGAAAAAAAACCCGAAGGGGGGGGTTCGCTATGTTCGGCCTCTGGGGGCCCTCGCCGGGCCCCAGGACAGTCAAACAACGATTCAGGATGCAAAACCGGTCCTGGGGAAAGGGTCGAGATTCCTGGAGACCCCGCATTGGAAAATCACGCCGTCGGATCTCTGGGTAACGCTGCCCCGCGGAGCTGGCTGGAGAGAGCTGCGCCATGGGCGGCGCCCTGCGCGCACGCTGAGAGCCCATCTGCGCCGCGCGGGGGGTCGACGGCACCGAGGTGCAGCAGCGCGTCGGGCAACGCGTGCCTCGCGGCGACCTTCACCACCCACCAAACCACCCCAACCCAACCTGAAGGCCCCAATTTATCCTCGATTTCCAGTTGGGGGGGGTCGTGGAACGTCGAGAAAACACATATGGAACCCGTACCCCCCCCCAACCCGAAGTTCGGGTCTTCGGGTTGGGTTGGGGTGGTCTGGTAGGTAGTCAGACCTGATTGACGTCGGCACCCCGAGCAAGCACCACATCAAAGCTTTCCTCTCCCGCGCCTCTCGGTCGGCGCCTGGCCCTGGCCGCCCGCCGTGCAGCGCGCGGCTCGCCCGCGAACGCTCCCCCTCGACATCCTGGAGGACCTCTCCATCCCCCTCTGCTCGGCCAGCCGATCCCGTGGGGCATGAAGGAGGCCGACGTCGCCTTCCCGCCGAAAGGCGACAACCTCGCCGGGGAGCTCACCAAGCCACTGCTGGCGCTGGCAACCACTCCCTGAAGAAGAACGTTGCACAGCGGACGCGCGAAGTGCAGCAGGGCGTCGTGGTGGGCCGCGACGTGGCCAGACGCATCCCTCGTCTCGATGCCGAGACGCGCCGCACCGGCCTCCTGGCCGACCGTATCAACCACCGCCCGATCTTCATCATCTTCGACTTCGCCGCCGCGTTCCCGTCGCTGGGCAGGGCCTGGCTGTTCGCGACGCGGAAGCACTTCGGCATCCCTGATGTTTTGCGCTTCTTCCGCGCCAGGTACTTCGCCCCGTCCCCGCTTGTGAAGGTTGGCAG